GTGTGTGGGGGGATTGGATCGGGCAGAGGTTCTGGGGGGGCGGTCAGGGGATGGGGAAGCGGGGGTTGGGTAGGCATGGGAGTTCCAGGGGTCTGTCGGGACGGTGGTGGATGGGGTCAGGGCAGTCAGGGGACAGGGAGCGGGGCGAGTTGGGTAGGGGGTGGGGTCCTGGGGGGCAGTTAGGGTGGGGGGTCTTGGGAAGGAGTGGTCAGGGGACAAGGAGCGGGGGGATTGATGGGTTGCAGTTTCTGAGGGGAACAGTCGGGGACCGGACATGGGTGTGTTTGGAGGCGGGGGGGATGCACTCACCGGGCGGTTCCCTACCGGGTCTTCGGCGGCAGGTCCTTCACCCGCTGGAGCTGTGCCGCCCAAGACCCAGTAGGGAACCGGTTCCTAAGATTGGCAGCTCATCACTGGGTATGAAGCAGGATTGAAGACAAAATGGAGATGAGGCATCAGCCTTATATAGTCTTTTCCAGGTGTAAGAACACCTCTTTGTTCTTACTGTGGGAAATTACAGCAAGATGGAGTCTGGAGTCACATGAACCAGTCCTTGCATACTTTGCTGAGTCACAAGGCATATTTGCCTTCTCTCAATGTGTCAGTTATATAGCTGATGGTCCTTAATGGGCCATCAAGCAGGCTAGGCAGAGCTGACACCAACTTGTCTGGGGTGTCTCCCAGAAGTAGAGCACAAGTGTGAAATACAGACAGTATAGAGCCAATACTGATAACTTTAAATACAAAATTGATTCACACATATAGACAGCATAATCATCACCAGTAAACCATAACCTTGGCTTGGACACCTTATTTGACCCCCTTTATACAAGATTTGGTGCCACTACAGGACTTTGGTTGCCACCATGTTCTATATGGTCCCCGTTCAAGTCAATAATGTGACACCCCCAACGCAAAATTGATGCAGGAAGGGATGACACCAACATCACTGACTGCATCCCAAGAGCTCCCCATCCTTGGGTCTGTCTCACTACAGCTAGTATTGGGGTTAGAAGCCATATTAGTGTATAACAGAAATGGTTTTATCAGAGTCACATTCAATAACATGATTGAATCTCTTTAGAAACTCAAGGTAAAACTTGGTTAGAACAACAGTAGATTGGATCTGTTCTTGCAGCAGGATTCCTGTATGTTTCATGTGATCTCGCCAAGAGCTAAAGAAAACAGCTACTTTGTCCATACAAGCTCTGGCCAATGTTTGGAACCCACTGTGGAAGCAGAGAAAGAACGGACAGGAAGGGGATGCAATGTATGGCAGTTCGTTAGCAAGAGTCAGGCTAACTGTAACCCTAATAACGCGAGATTTGTAGAAGCGAGGAATGTGTGAGGCGAGTGGGAAAGAACTGTGTGAGGTGCATGGAGATTTTGTAAGCACAAAAGAAACAGTTACACCTTG